TTCGGAGCTCCCCAAACCGAGAGAGGTAGAGGAGGGAGCCCCGTTGAGTTCTTGTGGACAAAATGGCTGATTAGGGAACAGCGTGCAGAAAGCAAGGGGCAGGCGTTAGAGGAATCTCCGTCCTGGCCTGGCATCCTTTAGGTGGGCACTCACCTATGTTGAAGTTAGAAAAGCAGGAGAAATGGCTGGGAATCATAAACCTGCTTAAAGTAGCTAAGGAATGAAACATCACGTTAATTATGTAAACAGACAGTAATAGCTTGCCTGTGAAAAATAAATTACCTTTAATGTAGTCCCTTTGACCTGTGAGGTGGATCTAAGATGGTTCTGAGGCTTACAAAATTTTTTAAGTTTACAAAGAGAAAGAAATTTTAGATATGCTACTATTAGCATTGTCTGGACCCTGTTGTCTGGACCCTGTAAACAGGGTTGGGCTAAGAGCATGAACTGTTTGGGAAAGCAAGTATTTAGACAGCTTTTTGGGAAATCTGCAGCCTGGCTGCTCCACCGCCCCTCCCTCCCCAAACTGCCAGCGGGAGGATGGTGGGGGAGCAGGAGGCTAGAGAGGGGGTCGGGATTCCTGTGCACATCCATCCAGTGCCATGCAGCCTGGGCGGGGCGAATCAGTGCCTGCCAGGCTCCTCGGGTCCGCAGCATCAAAGTTGGGGCAATCCATAGGAAGGGCCTGATCAGGTGGATGCTGTCGCCGCAGCCACTGGCGCGGAGCCCCAGGGAAAAGCCAGCAGAGCCTCATGGTGCCCATGGCCCCTAGCGGGCTGTGCACTGGTGTGTGCAGCGGGAGGGACCGGAGCAAGGCCGGGGATGTCTAAGGCAGGGCCGGCACTTCCAGGTACCTGCAGGGTGGGTGGGGTCTTGTGAGCCAGAGGCGGGGGGTGGGGGGTTATTTTATCCCAAGCTTGAATTGCACAGGGGCATATCTGGTCAAAAAGACCTGCTGGTAATGTCATCTGTTGTGCTCCTGTGGGATAGAGTCCCTGGCTAAAGTTTATCAGATCCCCGTGGGGTGTCGTCTCAGTCCTGATTTCTCCTCAGTTGTTGGAGACATTCCTGTCTGAAATAGGCTTCGCTCTGTGAAAACGGTGTGCTGAATAGGAAGGACCCACAAACATCCCTCCAGCCTTTGGGTGTATTTAAGGTGGCAATCTGGCTTCGTAAGAGCAATTTTGTCCAAGGTGCATGAATGCCATCTTCCTTTACTGCCTGTCTGAGTTCTTTTAAACCTTCAGCTTGGCATGGGTGCAAGTTAAGTGGTCTAACGGGACTGCTTGAGAGTTCTGAGAGTCAGGGGTAGAAGGAGAGGTGGGTGGAGTTCACCAGGGCTTTAAAGTTATTTTTTGTTTGTTTTAGCAACAGAATCTCAGAGATTTTAAAGCTGTTGGGTGTTAGAGGGCGGGGGTGGGTAACAGGACCATGGAATTACTCAGCATCTCTTTCATTTTTTTAGTGGGTTTTTGAAGGGTGTGGTTTTGTTGGCTAGGGGAAGTAGAAGCAGAGACTACTCCCTCCGCTTCGGCGGCGGGAGGTGGAGTAGGGGGAAGAGTGGGAAAGGGTGAAGGCGATTTGTTATGTACTTCCATCACGGAGTCCTTCCGGCAGTTGGGTTGTTGGATTAAGGGTAGAGGGGTGGGTGGGGCTGGCTGCTTGGATGGCATTCCCTCCCGGAAGTTATAGGGGGTTAAGGGTGGGTGCATGGTTTTGATTTCTCCTAATAAGTCTGTGAGGGCTGTGAGATGTGAGGGTTCTGAATCTCATACTCGACTGGCTGAAAAGAAGCAACTTCCTTGGAAGGGCTCAGTAACTGGTCCTAAGCGTGGGTGGACTGCTGCTAAAATGGGCAGAAAACGGGGAGAGGATTTTCCTCTGTTACTGTTTTTATTTCAACTGAGAGACGTGACCTGGGTCGGTGAGTCCGAGTTGTAAATATTACTCGTGGCCACGTGAGGTGCTGTTTGAAGCACCTCCTCCCAAAATGAGATTTGTTTTTTGGAGAGTTTTATGCCATGTAATTTTAAGAGGGTATGTATTTCCCTAACTTGAGGGTCCTTTTTATGTGATGAATTGTTCCCCATGACAGATAAAGATAGGAAGTGTTGCTGCCAATGGTCAACGTTCTCCAGACAATTTTGCCACAAGGAGTTGGCACACCCCGCCAAATACAAAGGGTGCCCACAGATTTAAGAAGCTGGCAGCTCTCCTAATGACAGTTACGTGGCTGCTGTTACCAGTTTTATTTTTTTTTTTCTGAGGGGCTAAAAGATCAATGCCTTCACCCTGGTTGGGCTGTCTGGCTCTGGAAAGAGGATAAGGGAACATCAGCCAGTATTGGGGCATGGCTCCGACTGAGAGGCGTCAGTTTTTCCACAAACTGTATCTAGTCCCTTGAGAAGAAGACACTGACTAAAAACAAAGTAGGAAAATTGATAGAACTGCCTCCCTCAGTTTGAAGATGTAGGCCCTTAGGCCAGGGGACACTCGCCCTTTCTGGCTCTGGCCAGAACGCAGTATGATAATGCCTCGGTGAAACCAATTATTTATTCATGACAATTAAAAAATTTAATACAAGTTTTTTTTCACACATACATTAAGAAACAATTCTCCATATACTAGTGTGCAGAATGCTTGTATTCTGTGATTCCATATTTCTACATGAGACTGATGGTGTCAATCGCACACAGTCTTTCTTTCCAAGTATGTAGTTACTAATTAAGATATTTTCCCTTGCTCTGTGGCAATGCGATGGTACTGGCTGGACTCCATCGCCTGTTGAGCAGGTCACAGATTGTCACAGGGCAGGTTCTCAGCTGGAGTACAGTCTGAAGCTGGGATGAACCCATTGTTCAGACACATTTGAATAATTCCAGCCCATGTGATGCATAGAGCTATGTTGTAATAGGCCTTTTCCTTTCCATGTTGGTTCTGAGGTTGGGTATTGAAGAGGTCATATATTGGCTTCTACAATGATGAACTGTGGTGCCATAATTGTGAATATGACCACCTTAGCTTTGCTGGGGTATTATGATATTGGCTGCTGTCTGTGAGTGGGTGTGACCTCTAGAAGGCTCACAACAGTACAACCAATGTCTGTGCAGCAGGCAGTGGACACTGTGGTCTCTGACTCCCTTATGTTTGTACTTCATCAAAGACAGACTATTCCTGCCATTACCTTAGCGTTCCACAAGAGGTAGGACAGCTGTGAGAGTTTCCTTGGAAGGATCTTGGTATATTAGTGTAGCTGGATGATTGCTGCCGCTTCTGTAAAACGCAGAAGTCATTGGTCCTTGAACATACTCTCAGCACAACAGTGTAGACAGGGTGATTGGGAAGAAACAATGACATGAATGTTAAATGATCTTTCCTTTTTTTTCTTTAATGCAGTTTTTATTCAGTCTGTGCTCTGTATTGTTCTACATCCTTTTTTCCCCCAAATTGAATTATTTTTACTAATTGAAATTTTATTGGTTATAATGGTTAGAATAAAAATACTTTAATTTGTATACATTCATTAAAGTATATACTAAAATCTAAAATATATGTATTTTGTTTCATTTTTCACAGTTATTCTACTGTATTCATCCTCAAACTTCAATACAACTTTTTCTTAAAAGAATGTCGTGTATCAATATCTTCAAATCCAAATATTCTTTATTTAACTCCTACTGATTCACAATTAAATCGTATATGAATTTATCTAAATCTTTGCTTTTCAAAAACACATTTCAAAATTATTAGGAAAAGCAGACCACCAGGATGCGAGATGTTACAGAGGACAAACATTTCCAGGAGCGCGATGAGGGAGAGTGATGTTTTCTACCAAACAGTTATGCTAAAAGTAGTAAGACTAGAAATAATTTTAAATATTTAAGACATTAAGTGGTTATCAACTAAACCAAATTTTGGAATATTAAGCTGATACTCAAGACAGTTTCATTAGTTCAAAATTCACTATTTTCTGGTCGTACCCAACCTAAACATACAAAGTTATATTTTATCTTAAAAGCATAATTTACATATTAAAATAAATTAGGGTGGGATGGGATTCCTCCATTTAAAATGTTTCTATAATGAGTAGAAAATATGCAGCTGGGTGTGGTGGCACACACTTTCAGTCCAAGCACTTTGAGGCAGAGGCAGGTGGATCTCTTGTGAGTTTGAGGCCAGCCTAGTCTATCTACAGAGCAAGCTCCAGTCCATCGAGGTTAGAAAAAAGGAAGGAAAAGGAAGCATGAATTAGTAAATAATTGATAAAATATTCCTCTTATTTTCCAAGAGAACAGGGAGGACATATTATTGATGGGGTGTGCTTTTGACTTCATTTCAAATTTTAGAGAAGTATGTCTATCATAGAACTTCCCTACAGTGATCTCTGTTTAAGCACTCCATCATCAGTTTTTCTAGGGAGCTGATGTCACTCATGGGTACCTTGGGCACTGGAACTAGGGTGCTGATGGTCTTGCTCTGACAGATCCTCTTTCAATTCTTTATAGGAAACTTTCAGTTTTCATTCCCTGACAACTTTACACTATGTCTGGTTTCAGACACGAAATGAAGCAGCTCTAAAACCTGTTTGAGATTCTTAAGAAAAGTCAAATAAAAATTTAGACAATGATTAGGTCTTAAAAGTAAGATTATTTATCTCTCTAATTTTTACATCAACAAAGAAATTATAGAAATACAAGTTAGATGTTCATTTTGCAATGGTAGAAAATACCACTTATGACTATGAGAATTATGTAATGAATAAGGGGAGTATGAATGTGTTAATGCAGTCTACATCAACCCGAGGACTTACGATTAAATGGGTATCACATATTAACTTTTTCATTAATCTAAAAGAGTGATAGAAATATATCTAAGGAGAAAGCAGAGAGATATGTAAATTCTTATATTCTATATCTCATCTTAGTAGTTTTATTACCTGTATTTGTTTTTGATCTATCTTCTATCCACATAAAATACAATAATGAGAAATGTTGTGGAAGTTAGAGTCTTCTGCTAGAAATCTTCCACAGGGCCCACTTGATGTCCCTGTTCCTCAGGCTATAGATGAAAGGGTTCAGCATTGGAGTAACTATGGTGTACATGACTGCGGCCACTGCGCTTTTCCTAGGGGAGTTTGAGGCAGCTGAACTGAAGTAGGCACCAAAGGCTGTCCCATAAAACAAGCAGACAACGCACAGGTGAGTCCCGCAGGTAGAGAAGGCTTTCCTTTTCCCTCCTTTTGATGAAATACTCAGAATGGCAGAAAGAATTCTTCTGTAAGAATAAAGGATTCCTGAGACTGGAATGCCACCAAAAATGAGACCAAAAATATAAATGAATATTTTATTGTTAGAAGTTTTTGAACAAGCATGATTAAGAAGCTGAGAAGGGTCACAAAAGAAATGACGGATTTTCACAACTTTGCAGAAAGTAAGGTGAGACACAACCAAGAAGTGTAACTGAGAGTCCAGAACACTGATGGAGAGCGACACCACAGACAAGAAGACACAGAGGCGGGGGTGCATGATGACAGCGTAGTGCAGAGGGTAGCAGATGGCCACCAAGCGGTCATAGGCCATCACACTCAGGAGCAGACTGTCCAAACACCCGAAGAAGAAGAAAAACGACACCTGTATCAGACAGCCTGTGTAAGTGATGGATTTGTTGCGTGTCTGGATGTTGAGCAGCATTTTGGGCATGGTAGTACTGCTAAAGCCAATGTCTGCCAAGGACAGGTTACAGAGAAAGAAGTACATGGGTGTGTGGAGGTGAGGGTCGGAGACGACAGCCAGGATAATGAGCAGGTTCCCAAGCACCGTGATCAGGTAGATGGACAGAAACACTCCAAAGAGGACAGGTTTTATTTCAGAATCCTCTGAAAGACCAAGGAGGAGGAATTCCCAGGTGGATGTCAGATTCTCTCCCTCCATGAAGAAGGAACATGTAGTGGTAGTAACATTTAGGCAAACAGAGAATTACAGTGTCAATCTTTTATGTTCTTAGATGGCCAGCATTTAAGAATTTTTCTTGAAGACAATGCATTCCAGTGACTTTTGTAATATTTGTGAGCTGTGAACTCCTCTTCACTGGTGTTTTCTTGGACACTAGAACATTAGAGAATAAAGAACATTTGAGGTGACTGAATATCTCAGTACCTTAAATGCCTGCTGCTCATTTAAGTTTTTTACTTAGTGCTGAAAACAGGATGTTACACATAATAGACACCATTCTAATACTAACTGAAATACCCAAATCAACCCATAATTTTGTAGGTTAAATATTTAATAATTTATTAATAAATAAATTTATTATAATAATTTAATAATAAATATCATTCATATTTAAAACAAATAATGATCATAAGAATTAGTCAAATATTTATTTTTCTAAGTATAGCTTAAAACATTCTTTTAGACAGACACAGTAGAGACAAAATTGTATTGTCTGTATAAAAATTTCCCATTTCATATAATTAATCATAAGTACGTTTTCTCTTGTTGCAGGCATTTATCCTTCATACAAGTGTATATCTACTCACAGCTATTATTTTAATTGAGTCAGTATTTTCTGAAATAAAACCAAAAATACAAATACAAATTTGCCTTCAATGGACTTTTTATAAATGTATTTTTTTTTCTTAATGTACAGAAGTTACATGCTGACACTAAAATTGCAGGTGGTAGTGGTGAAAGGTAGCAATGAAGAACAGTAATTACGGTTTATGAATGCTTCACACCTACTTTTCATTAATACAGTGCAGGTTTTTTTTTCTATTCGTCATGCACAATCTGAAGGAAGTTTTTCAAGCAGAATTTCTTTGAGCTCTCTGTAGCTTGTCATGAGTTGGCAAAATTTCTTAAATAGGTCTATAATCTTAAATGTTCCTGACTAATTTTCTCATCAAACTCAACATTCCTTATTCAGTGGGTAAACTGAAGTAAAGAGAAAAATCTATATCTGAAACCTCCATTTGTCATCTTAATGTAAGAATAAAATATTTTCTAAATCAATGTTTTCTCAGAGATGAACAAAATATGTCTTAAATTCACTTTTATGAAAGTAACTGAAGCTCATTATTGTTCCAAGAAATATGTATAAGAACATGGAATAATATTAAAATTTCTGGATATTTTATTAATTTATTAAATGTGTATACTACAGAACTTAACATATTTAGCTGTTTATGAAATAGAATAGCAAATATTGTCTCAATGCTAGGTTGACATTATAATTTATATTAGCTCCTTAAGATTTGCTCATGTTCTTGCCACAACTTACAATTAAATCAGAGTGAATAACACAGTCATGTGATTTACTAACAAATAGACAGTGATGAGAACTACTGCACACCAGCAACTAAATGCTTCAATACTGTTACTTATTGTTACATTATTGCCCAGTATCCATGGTTAATAACGCCTTTGAACTCATATATTAACGACATAGTAGTAACTACTAACCCATTAGCATACTAGCTTGATATGCTTCAGTTTTCCCAAACGCACTCTGTGATCAAACTGGTGTATGTATTTCCTGTCAGTGTATTGGTGTAATGTGTTTTTTCCATGTCTGTAAAAATTTTACTATGAAATTATCAAAACACTATTACATTATAAGTTTATGAATGTATTTTTTTCTTAGAAATTTAGCACAATGTTGTGCTTTTAAGTCTTTGCATACCGTGTACATGTTACTTGACTGCTTTAAATAATACATAGTCCTACCTAAAATATAAAGGTCACAGTTTTGGAAATTTCTTATTACAGCACTCTTAAAAATGTCTTTATGAACATTACTCAAACACTTATTTCTGCAAGAAGTCATTAGCAGTAATTATTTCAATTACGAAATGTGATAGTGTTAACTTATCTTCTTTTGCATATTTTTCTGTTATGGGAAAATCAACTGTCAAAAAGAGTGAAAGCATTGTGGGAGGAAAACCGACTATTTGAGTCATTCCAACTTGATGAGAACCAGTAACAAAATCTTAAAAGGCACCTGAGCTGAGACTTTGAGTGCTGGAGCCTTTTTACTATTTTGTCCCAATAGGTGATAAGGAAATATGTCTCCCGCGGTCCTTCCTTTCCTCACTGTCTTCTGTCTGAACTCACTGCAGTGCTGGTCATCTCTGTTGCAATATGAAGAAGGCGTTCAGACCTGCTGCCTCTTATCTGCTGGTTGCTTGTCAAGGGCTGAGGCCTTCTTGTAAGAAGTAGCTGGAAGAAAGAGTAACACAGGATATTTAGCAACAAAAGATGTTCTTAAGGGATACACAGATGTGAAGACCACTGGGCAGACACAGGGATTCTAAAAGGCTAAAAGAAAAAGCTGATTATTTATAGTTGATTTGCTTTGAGGATTCAGTTAACAAAGCTCCTAATTAGTCACATTGTCCCATGTTGTCACACTCTCTAAAGATTTCTTATTGTTAAAAGAGAAATAAATATTTTTACAGCTCTCAGAAAGACCTTCATTTTTCTTATGAAAACATCCTGAGAACTCCGAAGTTCTTAGTCATTACAAGAGCACAGCATAAAATACAACTTTTTAACATCTTTTCTACTTCTGTTAGACCTTAACATCTGCATCTTTCATGCATCATATAATGTACAGAAAATTATAAATTCTACAGGAAATATTTTGTCATTTCTATTTTCTCAGTTAAGATTTTCATCAAATAGAAACTATGCATTTTCAGGCTATACTTGGGGAATGTGGTAATGAGCATTAGAGATTTGTAAGTTTTGATTATATAAATGGAAGGCAAATTGTTTTTTCTTTTCAATTTTAGTATACTGATTTTTCAAAAACTGCTGTCTCTATACATGTATTTATAACTTTATATTTTTGATCAAATAATTTTGGAACCCTTAGCAGACTGCAGTTGAGGTGCCATGAGCTTCCTATTTAGCAGGGAGCCTTTTGTTTGCATTCCCAACTTCTATGCTCACTCACACGCCTATTTAACAGACACATTTGTCTTACTAATTCATGCCAAGTGAGTTTCTTACAGGCAGATATGTAATCTGGCAGCTGCTTCCAGAAGAGCTGCCAAATGAGTTTCTGACAAGCATAAATTTAAAAGCCAGAGATTCTGTAACATAAACTCTGAAGCACAGGAGTGTTCTTTTCTTTCTTTCTTTCTTTCTTTCTTTCTTTCTTTCTTTCTTTCTTTCTTTCTTTCTTTCTTTCTTTCTGTCATCATAGAGCCTAACAATGAACATGCTGAAGTCAGGGAAGTTAGCTTAGTCATTATAATCATTGTGTTGTAAAAATGAGTAGCAGAATTAATTCCTACAGTTCTCATAGAAATACTGGCAGTGGTGGCATGTGGTTCGAATCACAGTGTGGGGAAAGGGTGAGGAAGATTACTGGAGCCCATTGACCAGAAGATCTTTTGTACAGTATTGTTTTAGCTATTTTGGGTTTTTTGTTTTTCCATATGAAGTTTAGAATTGTCCTTTCAAGGTCTGTAAAGATTGTGTTGGTATTTTTATGGGAATTACATTGAATCTGTAGGTGGGGTGACCTAGCTGGCCCACAGAAGAAGAGGATTCAGGCAGTCCTGATGGGACCTGATAGGCTAGGTCAGACAGTAAGGGAGGAAGACTTCTCCTATCAGTGGACCAGGGAAGAGGAATAGAGGAGAAAGAGGGAGAGAGAGTGGGACCAAGAGAAGATGAGGGGAGAGGGCTACAACTGGGATAAAAACTGAATAAATGGTTAATAATAATAATAATGATACTAATAATAGCAATAGTAATAATAATACCAAAAATGAACATCATGAATGTTAGGGTCCAGAGGAAGCCAAACAAACCACACAGACATCAGTATCAGTTAGATATGAATGGTTTGTTGAGTGCACATCCCAAGTTTTATCATGATTAGGGACACAGAGTGGACTCAGGAGCCAAACTACATTGATCTGTTTTTCAGAGTCAGCTTACAAAGGTAAATACCACAATTAGCTCATACAGGGGGCATAGAGTGGAACAGAGTGGTCATATCTGACTCAAGTTATTTTTGCTAACTTGACAAGCAGTTCTAGCTAACCTTGAGAGTGCCTGGCAATTGGGACCAGCTGTGCTCATGGTTGGAGAATTTCCAAGAACAAGGCCATGGAGTTTCTCATTGAACATAAACATAGTTTGTGGTCGATCTGACCTTTCATAGAGATTCATTTTTCTTAGCAACAAGTTGAGATGACTGGTGGGCCTGAAGGAATTCTTTTACATTGGCAAAAAGTTATGATGACTGGTGGGAATTAAAAAAGAGGCTCTTCAGAAAAGGGAAAACATGTCTTAACATTCTCCCTTTGATTTGCTTCCATAAGTCAAATCATTGTCTCAAGATTTTCCCTTGTGGCCAAGGAACCATGAGTTGAAAAGCTGAAATATGTCATCTAGTGCAAGATATCAGACATTTATAATGCAAAGCCTGCAAGTGAGAATTAATATGAGCAGACACAAGGGACCAAATAGGGCAATTACTAGTTAGGGGAGCCAAGATGGCCAGTTAAACAGACTTTAGTACCAATTCATTGTTTACTCTGTTGTTCTCTGTCTAGGAGAATTTTTTTTTTTTTTTACCTCTGCCAGAGTTTTTCTCATAACTTTGGAATGATTGGCATAAAAATAACATTGTTTCCTCAAAGCCATGCATAAACTTTGAAGAATAATTAAGTCTAATGCTCATCAGTTTTATACCACAGCTAGGGAGTCTACTTGGTTTCTAAGAATGTAGTGGCAGAACGCAATTTGGCCACATCTTTGTCAACTTGTTCATTTAAATATATAAAATTTCATTGTCCTGTAACTAAGGCTGTGGTGCTGACAGCCACTGATCCTACTAACATGGGCATCAGGATAGGGGCTGCTCTTCTCTTGTTTGAAGTTGATAAAAGGCCCATATACCTTCATAATAAGAGATTTGGGGA